AAGATGGTCATTTTCACAATACAAATTCTTCCAAACCATGTACATGGGAGGTACTCCCATCTTCTGATGTCTTCCTCAATCTCTTTCTTTAAAGATTTGAATTTTTATTGTAGAGCTCTTTAATGTCTTTGGTCAGGTTTATTCTGAGATATTTTTTGAGGCTATTGTGAAAGGGAGTGTTTCCATATCTTCTTTCGCTGGCTGTGTATTACTGATATATAGAAAGGATACAGACTTTGTACATTAATTTTGTAACCTGCCACTGTACTGAAAGTTTTAATCACTTCTAGGAGTTTTCTGGTGAAATGTTTGGCATCTCTTAGATATAATATCATATCTTCTGCAAAAAGGGATAATTTGATCTCTTCCTTTCTAATTATTACTCCTTTAATTTCCTTCTCTTGTCTTATTGCTTTTACAAGAGTTTCAAGCACTATGTTAAAAAGGAATGGAGGTAGTGGACAGCCTTGTCTAGTTCCTGATTTTAGTGAGAATGCTTCCAGTTTATCTCCATTTAAAAATGGTGTTGCCTGTGGCTTTGTCGTATATGGTTTTATTATGTTGAGGTATGTTCCCTCAAGTCCAATGCCCTCTAGGACTTTGAACATAAATACATGTTGAATTTTGTCAAAGGCCTTCTCTGCATCTATTAAGATGATCATGTGGTTCTTTTCTTTGAGTCCATTTATATGATTTATGATGTTTATTGACTTATGAATATTGAACCACTCCTGCATCTCTGAAATAAAACCGACTTGATCATGGTGGATGATCTTCTTGATGTGTGTCTGTATGTGGTTTGCAAGTATCTTGTTGAGAATCTTTGCATCTATGTTCATTAAGGATATGGTTCTATAGTTTTCTTTTTTGATTGTATCTTTATCAGGCTTTGGTATTAGAGTGATGCTGGCTTCATAGAAGGCATTTGGAAGTTCTCCCTCCATGTCTATTTTTTTGAATAAACTAAGTAGTACTGGGTTTAGTTCTTTAAATATCTGGGTAGAATTCTGCTGTAAATCCATCTGGTCCTAGGCTTTCTTTTTTGTCAGGAGGTTTTGTATTTCTGTTTCAATTTTCTTATTCCTTATGAGACTGTTTAAATTGTTGATCTCTTCTTGGTTTAGTTTTGGTGATTCCCATGCTTTAGATACTGTTCATCTCTTTTAGGTTTTCAAATTTAGTAGCATATAGGTTTTTAAAGTATTCCCTTATAATGTTCTGGATCTCTTTGGTGTCTGTTGTCATGTTTCCCCTTTCATCTCTGATTTTGTTGATTTGGAAGTGCTCTTTCTTTCTTTTGGTTAACTGGGCTAAGGGTCTGTCAATCTTGTTTCTCTTTCAAAGAACCAGCTCTTGGATTCATTATCCTTTACATTGTTTTCTTTGTTCCTATTTCATTAATTTCTGCTCTGATTTTTATTATTTCTTCTTGTCTGCTGGGTTTGGGTTTCATTTGTTGTTGCTTTTCAAGTGTTTTGAGTTGCAATATTAAGTCATTTATTTGTGTTCTTTTTGATTTTTTAATGTAGGCACTTAGAGCTATAAACTTTCCTCTAAGAACTGCTTTCAACGTGTCTCAGAGGCTTTGTTGTGTTGTATTGTCCTTTTTATTTAGTTCCAGGAATACATTTATTTCTTTCTTAACTTCTCCTTTGAGCCACTCATATATTCATGTAGCTACTAAGGTTTCATCTGGTGTTGATTTTAATGTTTATTGCATTGTGGTCTGATAAGATACATGGAATTATTTCAATATTTTTTATTTGTTGTGGCTTTTTTTGTGGCCCAGTATGTGGTCGATTTTGGAGAAAGTTCCATGGGGCACTGAATAGAAAGTATATTCTTTGGTGCTTGGGTGGAATATTCAGTAGATGTCTGTTAGACCTATTTGATGTATGGTATTAACTCAGATGTCTCTCTGTTAATGCTCTGTCCTCCTGACCTACCTAATGGAGACAATGGGGTATTGAAGTCCTCTATGCTTAATGAGTTGGGATTAATCTGGGTCTTAAAGTCCTATAGTACTGTTTTTGTGAAGTTGGGTGTATCAGAGTTTGGTGAATACATGTTCATGATTGTAATATCTTTTTGGTCATTTGTTCCTTTGATTAGAATGAAGTGTCCCTCTTTATCTCTTCTGATTAGTTTTAGTTTGAAGTCTATTTTGTCAAATATTAGAATTGCAACTCCTGCTTTTTTATTAGTATCATTTTCTTGGAACATTTTTTTTCCATTCTTTCACCTTAAGGTATTGCCTGTCCTTGAACATGAACAGGTTTCTTCCTGACAACAAAAAGATGGATTTTGTTTCTTAATCCATTCAACTAGTCTGTGTCTTTTCCCTGGGGAGTTCAGTCTATTGATAGTTAAAATTATTAATGAAAGACGTGTATTGATTACTGTCATTTTGATTTCTGTTTGCATTCTTGGTATAACTGTGTGGTTCCACAGTTATACCTTCATTAATCTTCTTTCTGTTATCCCTTGGGTATAATTGTTCCTTTCTTCAGCTCTTTGTATTGCTTCAAGAACTCTCTGAAGCACTGGTTTTGTGGACATGAATTATTTCAGCATCTTTATGTCATGGAAGATTTTTCTTTCCCCATTAACTATAATAGACATTTTGGCTGGGTAAAGTAATCTGGGTTGGCATCTGTGGTCATTTAGAACTGGGAATACTTTGGTCCAGGCTCTTCTGGCTTTCATAGTTTGCACTAAAAAGTCAGCTGTGATTCTAATGGGTTTTCCTTTATATGTTACTTGTTGGTTTTCTTTTGCAGCTTTCAGCATTGTCTCTTTGTTCTGTACATTTAGTGTTTTTACTATGATGTGCAATGTAGAGTTTCTTTTCTGATCCTATCTATTTGGTGTTCTATGTGGTTCTTGTATTTGTATGGGCATGTCTTTCTTTAATTTTGGGAAATTTTCTTCTACAGTCCTGTTGAAGATCTGGTCCATACCATTATCCTGAGATTCCTCTCCTTCCTCTATGCCTATGATGTGTAAGTTTGGTCTTTTTATGGTGTCACACGTTTCTTGCATATTCCATTCTTGTGTTTTCTTAAATTTTTCATAATCACTGCTTAAGTGGTCTAATTCATCCATTTTATCTTCCAGTCTTGATATTCTGTGCTCCGTTTCATTCATCCTATTGATGAGACATTCTCTTGTCATTTTTAATTGGATTATTGAGTAGTTCACTTCCTTCTTCATTTAAGCCTGAGTATTCTTCAATATTTCTGACTCTTCTGAATTCATTCAGAAGTTTATCCCTATCTTCTTTCAGTTCTTTGATTTGTTTGTGTGTTCTTTAAATTCACTTTCTCTTATCATGTTTATAATTGTTCTTTTGAACTCCATGTCCTGTGTTATCTCTAGGGGGTTCTCATTGTACTCCTCTAGAGGACTGATGGGACTTGGTAGTATATTATTTTGGTTTTTCATGTTATTATTTTTTCTCTATGACTTTGACATGTGGATTTCTTTTGTAGTTTCTGATTCTTGTTTGAGACTCAAGCTTTCCTTTTTTGAGTTTAGATCTGCTTCTTTTTGTAAACTTTATGTACCTTTGTGGTTTACTTGTTGGGCATGAAAAGCTGGTTGGTCTAGGCTTCAGGTTCTCTCTTTTGATTCTATATTGGAGGGACCGGATGGCTTTAGTCAACTGCTCAGGAGTTCTGACAGAAGCCCAAGTCAGATGAGGATCAGATGCTCTTAGGCTTTCTCCTAAGGTCTGGATCCCCAGGAAAGATGCTGGCCTCAGGAAGGTTCAAGTTGGTTTTCTTTAAGGGAATGATTTAGAATAGGTTGAACAAGCTTCAGTGAATGGACTCTCACCAAGGAACATTTGGGGACACAAACTTGGCTCAGTAGGCCTTAATATACATTACAGAATGGATGAAAACCAGTGGGGGACTATGGGGGCACAGATAGGAGAAGGGGTCTAAATATAATCAACATATATGAAATTCAGAAAAATCAATTAAAAAAGGAAAAACAAATATTTTATTTATGTATATATTTATTTTAATTGATACATTAAAAACATAAATATTATGTCTGACATAGGAACACATGAATGTTGTTTATATTGTTTAAATAGGCTAAACATATCTATTTCCTCATTTGTCATCTCTTTCTTTTGAACAAACTCTAAATTCTTTCTTATACATTTTAGAAATTATTATGGTTTGAATGTGAAATGCCCCCATAGACTCCTGTGCTTAAATATTTGGTCCTCAACTGGTGAAACTGTTTTGGGAGGCTGAGGAAACTTTCTAACATAAGATAGAGCTGGTGGATATAGGCCATGGTGCATGGGAGGCACTAATAGTCATAGCCCTGCCCCAGCTCATGCTGCTTCCTTCCTACTACTGTGATGTGGTCAACTGTTTCCTGTCCCCTTCACCACAGACAGGAATGGTGGCACCACCATGACCTCCTTGTCATGATGGATGTTTTCTTTTAAAACATGACCTCAAATAAATCTTTTCTCCCTTAGGTTGCTTTCTGTTGAGAGAAGTAGCAAGTCATAAACTTACAGAACTTAAACTATCTTTTCTGCAATAGCACCCTCAATTTGCTACAACTTGCAACTTAGTCTCCATTGATCCACCTCATTTTCATAACAATAAGAGTCAGCTAAAATATATAGTGACTATCTCAATTATCAAAATATTTAAAATTATTTTATTTCAATTCATTACTTTAAACTACTTTGTGGTATATAAAAATCTTTTCTCATATACAGATAAGTGATGATAGATGATAGATAGATAGATAGATAGATAGATAGATAGATAGATAATAGATAGATAGATAGATAGATTATATAGATGATAGAGGTAAATGTGATAGAAGATAGGTATGTAGGTAGATAGATGATAGATAGATGATAGATAGATGATAGACAGACAAGATAGATGATAGATAGATAGATAGATGACAGATAGATAGATAGATAGATAGATAGATAGATAAATAGATAGATAGATGATAAAGATAGGAAGGAAAAGAGAGAGGGAGGGCCAGCTTTCATAATACACATATGCAAACATTGGGTTGCAACTAGAAGTATTTTGCTGCTAAGGTATGTCTGCAAGAAAGTTTTTTGAAAAGATAAAGGATAATTTTCTCTCCTTAGTACTTGGTTCCCAATCATAATCTAGCCCAATCCTCCTTCTGTCCCATTCATTAAAATTTCAATTCTCAGCGGTTGTCTCCTTAGAGGTCTTGTTTTCACCCTGCACTGATACCCTGGAATCTTTCTTGCCTCCTGACTCTCAGCAAAGGCTGCCTCCTTCAGAATGGGACCCCCCTCCCAGCCCAGTGTCAGTTCCCTTACACTGCTCTGACCTGCTTGACCCGCAGCACTGCCATCGGTCAAACAATGTCAAGTGTCTAAACTTTGTCCTCCCAGTTAGGTCCTAAAGTATGGACAGATCACAGCTGGTTCTTTTCTGGAAGCATCTTCACAGAGAAAAGGCTACACTACAGTACCATAAACAAATGTCGTTAATGGAATACTAGCTTGTGGCCAATTTATTTACACAGTGGATGCAGTGAACCTCATATTTCATGATTATGACTTTAGCATTGTTGACTACACCAAACAGAAAATTGGGACTTTAAGGTAAAACATGATCTAAGAGTTAGGATACTGGAGTCCTCATGGTGAGTTACAGTCTGCTGCTGTGAAAGTCCGCTGGACCTTATTTTTCTCAGCAACAGTTTATATCTAACACATACAACTGTGAACACCGAATGAGAAGCCTAACAGAATAATCTAATCAGTCTTTGCTCTCACTCTATATTGACCTCTAAAGAGCCTTCTGCTAGCGACCTTTAACAAAAAAACTGAAGCTTCCTACTTTCTAGAAAGTACAGAATATTTAAGAAAGTGTTCTTCTGTTACCATGAAAAATAGACCTCAGATCTGTTGTCGCCCATATCATTTCCCATTATATTCCAGTAAGAAAAATGAAGCTGAGAATTTGATATGCGATCCTACAGACATTTGTTGAGAAACTACAAAATTTGAAAAGCATTGATTCTGCCTCCTCACCTCCTCGGAACCAGGTAAACAAAGCTCTCTCTCCAGCTCCTCCCTACGCCCCAACCTCCAACTCAGGTTAAAGAGCAGCACTTGAGTTTCCACATGCAGTCAACCACAACTCCTGGGTACGGCTGCTTGCTCTCCCTTTTTCATCCAGAATCCTCCAAAGGGAGGCTCATCCCAGCACTGACCACACCCACAAGCTAAACTATAATGGAGACACAGAGAAATGGGGGGGGGAGTTGTGAATGAAGCCCTGGGACAAAGAATAAAAACTAATTTTCCCTTGTTTTCAAACTCCCCAGTAGAAGAGCTTTGGAAAACAACATTGGAAAAAAACGGTTCATTATTTAAAGAAAAAGGCACATGGCCTTGATGGAGTCATACCTGTAGGCTACTAAGCCCTAAAGTCAGCTGGGCTCCTTGGTACTGCTCAGTATTTGCCAAGCAAATTTGACTTCAGCAGCCTCAGAATACAGACACCCCTGAGCCTTTCTCTGAGCTTCCTTCTTCCTTGCCCCACCCCTTCACCAGAAAAGCCTTCATGATTACACAGATTGAAGAAGGATTCAGACCCAGGAAATGATTATGTTCTTTCTTCTGTGCCTTTCCGTCCTGGCATGTAGGCACTGCCATCATAAATCCTGAAGATTATATGATCAGTCTAAGTGATCCCACATCATACTGTCAAAATCAGGAAAGAGGGGTAAAATGAACAGTCACAATCTGTCTTCTGGACTATTGCCTTCACCTTCCCCAGAGCCAGCACCCAGCCTCTCCCTGCTCCCGGAAACCGATCTTCCATGCTAACACTTGCAGCCAAGTCAGAGCCAGCACACCAGTTCTCTGATGGTACCAACACTTAGTTATAGGGCAGCATCCGTTTTGTCATGCCATGCATCAGCCTCCATGAAGGCTTCAGAATAGTCAGGGTCCTGGGGCACAGTCACGATTTGCAAAGGTGACTGACTATAGATGAAAGATTCTCAAAGTGGTTATATTGAAGAAGGAGTAGTAAGATAATATGCTAAGAAATGGCTGCAGTAGGATGCAGGGAGAAAGTAAAGAACTTGGGTTTTTAAAAAATAATGGTTTTTCTTATCTTTTCCAGAAAAACTGGGATGCCTGAGGGCCAGCTGCAAGAAAATTTATTCTAATCAGGCAAGTATTTTGAGCATCTTTGCACTTGTTTCTGTGAACAAAACTATTGAATGAGAGCATAATTCTCTGCCCCTAGGTAATTTCATTCAAAGCACCTACCTGCTAAGTACTAAGCTCACAGGTACTCAGCAAATCAATTTGAATGATGGATTCCAGAAAATTCCATTACTTCTTACTTAAAAGAACCCTCAGAGAAACTGAGGCTGAAAGAAATGAAGTGGACAGCTCAAGCTCACATAGCTAAGAAGTTACGTATGGAATCTAGATTTGAGGTCAACTGTGTTTAAGTCAAAGGGGCATGCTCTTTTCCCCTGGCCAGGGAGACAGAGACCAAGGCAGAGTGTTAGAGGTAAGCTGGGGCTCTAGGGCTAGGAGCCCTGGGATTGCTTTCCAGCTCCTCCACTTAGGAGCTTTGTGATCTTACTCAAGGAAGAAACTTGACCTCTTTGTGCCTTGGTTTTGGCCTATATAAAATGGAAATTTCAAAAGCATTAATTCACAGTGTTATTTCAAGCATTAAATCAAATAACTTGTAGAAAGAACTCAAACCAGAGCCTGATGTATAATGAGATCTTGGATAATCACTCAGTTAATCGTTTTAACTATTTAGCATTGATTATCAGTGTCAGAGGGGTAATCCCATCCAGTAATAAAATCCGCAAAGTTGAGTGCAAGTTCCCACATGTTGGATCTCTTGAAAATGTAATGAAACAGCAGAAGAAAGTCAGTGGAATTCATCACAATCTCTCTTGTACTAGAGTGATCCATCACCACCATCTCCACCAGCTTCGTCATCTCCTTTGACTCAGTGTCTCCATCTCCAACCCATTTCCTAATACATTTGTTTCAGATAACATTTGCACTCCCAAACTGCTTACTCTAGACAAGGAAGGAAACAATGTCGAAGTCCTTCTTACATTCCGTTAGAAGAAGCAGAGGTCTGTATTTTGCTGTCCCCTTCTGCTTGTGTTTGACTTTTCAGACAGGAAGGCAGTCCTACACGAGGGAGAAAGAATGAGTCATGGCTCAAATGCATTGACCTTCAGTTTCTATCTGATAATTTTTCATTCTTTAATATCACTGGCTGGCTTCTGTTTTCTCATATTTAAAATGGTATGAAGATGGAGTGTCTAGGCCAGAGGACACTATGTAGACACTGAGTACATGGATGTCATTAAGCACATTAGGCTAAAGGGTCCCTGTAATTTGTATCATGTATGACCCTGAACCTCCTGTAAAACTCATGTAAAACTTTCCCCAAAAGTTACACTGACATGATAGGAAAGTCTCCTAGCATCAATTTTGTCTTAAAGATGTATGTCAAGGTTTTACTTTGGTGTTCCAATAAGGAATTTGGGTAACAACCTGGAAGATACCATCAAAATCCATTTGACTTCAAGTGATTCTGGGGGAGGTTAAGCTGATATGACCAAAGCATGATGCCTGATAGTAATCCCACATGACACAAGGGCAAAGTCAGAGAAGCAAAAATGCTCTGGGTACTGTGGAATAAGCAGCTTATTACAGGAATTTAGCTTTTTAACATTATGAGAGGTCTTGACTCTGGGAGGGTCTGATAGGGGTGCTAGAGAATCTGGTACAGGTGGCATTTTAGACCTTATCTAGGAAGTTGGAAGCCTTCCAGCAATTAGAGAGGGGCAACTGGAAGGGCTGGGGTAGAGGCTGTGACTTCTGTTGTCTCTTCATGGCATATGCTTTTATGAGTTCACAGCCAAGATTCTAAAGGCCACTGAGGGGTTGAGGTTGGTTAGCAGGGCTTGGAGTCATAAAGAAGAGCTGAACTTGGGAATGAACTGAGACGTATCTGTGTATCTGCCTCTCTACATATGACCACTGCAACCTTTAGAGCACAAATGCTTTCAGTTTCCATTTGTCCAGCTTCTCATAAGGTCTCTTTTGGCCGCCTTTAGTCTAGACACACAATGAAAGGTTATTTGCATGAACATATTGGTCTTTTTAGCCAAGTAGTTTAAGAACAAAAACGTCACCTGTCCTCCCTTTTATCCCTAATTTTATTAAATTGGATAGTCTGTCTTTCTTTTGGTTAGTGTGACTGGGAGGTACCAATCTTGTTCATCTTTTCAAGGTATTAACTTTTTGTTTGACTGTTTCTATGTATTATTATTTTTACTATTTCTCGCTGCCTAGTGCTTTGAGGTTTGGCTAACTCCTGTTTTTCTAAGATTTTGAGTGGAGTTTTTAGATTATTTGAGATCTCTCTGGATTTTTAAATATTTATTTTACTTTATGAGTATGTGTGTGTGTATGTGTGTGTGTGCGCGCATGTGCGCACATGCACACGCACATGCACACGCATGCATTTCTGTGCAGGTGCCCACAGGGGTCAGAAGGGCGCATCACACCCCTCGGCGTTAGCATTAAAGGTGTTTGTGAACCACCTTATGTGTGTGCTTGGAATTGAACTCTGGTCCTCTGATAGAGTAATAAGTGCTCTTAAATGCTGAGCTATCTCTCCAGGCCCCACTCTGATTTTTTAATGTGAACACTCATAGCTATAAGCTCTCCTCTGAGAACTGCTATATCTCAAAGGTACTGGTAAATTTACTTTCCTTTTCATTTGATTCTTGATTTTTAAAAATTTTCTCCCAGATTCTTTCAATGACCCAATAGTCATTCAAGGGAATATTGCTATGTCTCCAAGTAGTTTTGCAGTTTCTCTTGTAATTCATTTCTAATCTTATTCCACTGTGATCTTACAAGATAAAAGAAATTATTTTGGTTCTTTCATATTTGTAAAGACTTGCTTTGTGACCTAAAATACGACCTATTTTAAAGTAGGTTCCATGGACTGCTGAGAAGAATGTACATTCTGTATCTGTTGGATGAAATATTCTATAGATACCTGTCATGTACATTTGATCTATGGTTTAGTTTAAATCTGAAGTTTCTTTGATTATTATTAGTTTGGGTGACCTATCTAAAGATGGCAGTGAGGTATTGAAGTCACTTATAACCGTTGTATTGGAACCCATCTAAGCATGCACAGAAGTGTTTGTTTTATGAAATTGGAAGATCTGGCATCTGAGATATATGTGTATATGTATATGTGTATATATATACTATTGTCATGCCTTCTTGTTGAGTCTTCATTACTATGCAGTAGCATTCTTAATCACTTCTAAATAAGTTTACCTTGAAGTCTAATTCCATTTGTTTGACAGACTTTCTTCCATCCTTTGACTATCAGACCGTGCATGTTCTTACCAATGAGGATGTTTATTGAAGACAATAAATAATTACATCTAGTTTTTTTTAATCCATCAGCCTGAGGTTTTTCTTGGTACGTTGAGGCTATTTACATATAAGATTACAGCTGAAAGACATTTATTAACACCTATGATTTTTTAGTTGTTTTTCTGGTTGCTTAAATAGTGTTTTGCTCTTGTCCTTCCATCCTATTCGTATTAGGGGTTTCCTGTTTACCGTGTTGGTCATGATAGATTCCTTCCTAATTCACTTTTGCTCATCCACTCCTCTCATGAAATTCACTCTTTCCTGTGCTCTCATGACTAATTCTTTCCTCTTACTCCATGTAAAATTTTCCTTTAAGTATCTTTCACAGTGCTAGCTTGCTTGTCCTAAGTTGCCTTAGATTGTGGTTGGTGTGAAATGGTGTTATTTCTCTAACAATTTTAGAAGATAGCTTTGCCTGATATAACACTGTTGTTCAATGGTTTAAATATGTTTTTCCATGTCTTCCTGGATTTTAAGGTTGCTGGTGAGATAATCTGGGATTATTCTGATTTTGCCTTTGTAAGTTTGTGTTTTCCCTTACAGTTCATAATGTTGTTACTTTACTTTGTAATTTTGACATGTTGACTATAATATCTCATGACAAGTTTCATCTCTGGTTATGTCTATTTGGGATTTTAACTGCCCCTTGTAATGGACATTCATCCATTTTTTTCCTCAAGATTTGAGGAAAATCCCACTATGATTTTACTGAGTATATTTTCTATGCCTTTAATCTCATCTCCTGTTTCTGAACTGTAGAGTCTTAGGTTTAGTGTCTTTGCTGTAGCTCCACATTTTTGGATGTTGCAGTCATGCTTTTTTTTCCCCTAATTGCTCTTTGAGTACAATATTTCTTCTCCTTTCCACCCCTGACATTCTTCCTTCTGTTTAGTCAAATCTGTCAGTGCTGCTTTCCACTGTGTTTTTTCTTTGATTTGTTGAGTTTTTCATTTCCAACATTTCTTTTGTATGTGGGGTATGCGTGGGGGCGCAGTCAGAGGTCAACCTGGGGTGTCATTCCTCAATAGTTTTCTCCCTTGTTTTCTGGGACAGTCACTCACTGCACTCTGGGACTCACTGATTAGGCTAGGCTTATTGGTCAGTGAGTCCCATGGATCTGCCGGTCTTCACCTTCCCAGGCCTGGAATTACGATCACGCAGCACCACACCCGCTTCCTGTCTGGGTGCCAAGGATCAAACACAGATCCTCATGCTTGCACAACAAGCACTTTACTAACTGAGCTATTTCCCCAGCCCACCAACATTTCAATCATTTTATCTTAATTTACCTGTTGAATTTTTCTTCAATGTTGGCTCATCTATACTGAGGTTGGCTCATCTGATTTGCTGACATTTTCATCTGTGTTGCTGAATTTTCTTTCTAGGTTCTAGATTCAATTCCTTTGTTTATCTAAGTTCACTGATTACATTTGCTAATAAATTTTTAATATTTTCACCTCAAATTTTACCTGTCTTCTAATGCAGTAGCAGAGTTATATTATGACCTTTTGGTATAGTCATGTTGCCTAACTTTTTCATATGTACTTTATGATATGATTCCCACATATGTTGATTTGTATATCTTTTCCAGGTTTATTTGGGAATCTTCTTATTGAATAGCTTACTCTTGTGAGCCCAATCCCCAATTCCATTTAATGTGGGTGATAGGAACATTATAACCATCAAGTGTATAGAAACACACTTAAAATCAATTACAGCCCACCAATACATCACCAATGACCACAGATCAGAAAAACAGGACAATTAAAGTAGAATATGCAGTGGAGTTTTAAATTGTACAGGGTAAATGTGGAAACAATAAATAAATGAACTAACAGAAGACAGGGATAGGAAAGAAGCAGAGAAGAAGAGAGTTAAATAACTGGGAAGAAGAGCAGGAGTGGAGAAGAGTATTAGGATAGGAAGAGCAAAATGCAGATCAGACAAGGAAAAAGAGAAATTCATACAGATATTCCAATAATAAGAAAGTTAAAAAATCAAATCAGTGGAACTTGGAAGAGAGCACTGTTGGTAACCTGTCTATGTTGCAAACATGAGGACCTGAGTTCTACACCCAGAATTCACATAAAAATAAAGCTAGATGTGGTGGCAAACACTTGTAATCCCAGTACTGAGGAGGAGGAGACAGGCAGATCCCTGGGGCTTGCTGGCCAGCCAGCCTACCCTGATTGGAAAGTTCCAGAGCAATGAGAGAATTTATGTTTAAAAAAAAAGTGGATAGCAAGATTGTCTCTGGCACACACACACACACACACACACACACACACACACACATGATAAATGTAAAAAGGACATAAAATATTAACTTTGTTTAAAACAACAACAGCAAGCTCAATAATATAAAGCACATACTGTTGAAATATAATAGACAGGAAATGGAGGGAAATGTGGGGGAAATAAAACAAAAAAGAAAGCAAAGGATTGTTAATAATGAGGAAAATGCACAAACTAAATTTGATAAATACATGAAGAGTAAGGAAAATAAAAACATATGGGGCTGGAGAGATGGCTCAGTGGTTAAGAGCACTGGCTGCTCTTAAAAAAGACCCAGGTTTAGTTCCCAACACCCACATGGTGACTAAAAATCATGCTCCAGTTCCAAGGAATCCTACACCCTCTTCTGGCCTCCATAGGTATTGCACTATACAGGTGCACTTGCATGCATGCAGGTAATCACTCATATACATAAAATAAAAATAATAAGGTCTTGGCTGGGCATGGTGGTGCACACCTTTAATCCCAGCACTAGGGAGGCAAAGGCAGGTGGATCTCTGTGAGTTCAAGGCCAGCCTTGTCTACATAGTAAGTTCCAGGACAGCTGGGGCTACAGGGAGACCCTGTCTCAAAAAGACCAAAAATAAAAATAAAAAATAAGGTCTTGAAAATAAAAACATATGTTTCAATACAATAAAGAAGCTTCCATGATTCTATGTGATTAATTTTTAATTATTTTTTTAAATTTATGCATATGAGAGTTATGCCTACATGTAAGTGCCCTGTGTCATGCAATGCCCATAGAGTACAGAAGAGAGTGTCAGATTCACTGAAACTAAAGTTATGGATGGTTGTTAGCCACCATGTGGGTTCTGGGATTCGAACCTGGGTCTTCTGCAAAAACAACCATGCTCTTAATCACTGAGCCATCTCTCCAGCCCCCATGTGATTAATTTGTCAGTAGTAATTCAAGTAAATATGACAGTCAAAGTATTTACTTCCTTGGGGACAGCAGGAAATTTAAGGGTACAGCTAATGGGTACAGCAGCCCAGCAGGGAAGGCAAGAATGAGTGAGCAATCTCCAAGAACTTTCAGACTCAATGAGGAATGTTATGATTCTCCCAGTCCAACCAATTCAAGTTTGGGGCAATTCAGATTAGAAAGACTCCTATTCCCAATCTTCCTTCTCTCTCTCTCTCTCTCTCTCTCTCTCTCTCTCTCTCTCTCTCTCTCTCCTCTCTGACATTTCCAAGCGCTGATGTCTGGGCATGTGATTCAAACTTTTTACTGTTTGTGTGTGAGCATGTGAATGTGTGTGTGTGTGTGTGTGTGTGTGTGTGCGCGTGCGCACGCGCGCGTGCATGTGTGTTTTAAGCACTTGACCACAAAACCAGGAAGATACTTCCTGATTTTATTTTTTATTGCTGTAACACTGTCTCCTTGTTGCTGCAATTCACCCTAGTTCACTTTCCACATCTTCACATAGTTGACCCTAATTCGAGGAGAAGCTTTCAGAAATCACTGCAATGTTCTCACTAGTATGAAGCCTATATTTTAAATTTAAGATCTTCAATATCAGAGTTACAATGCACTTCAAAACTTTCAGACAGCTAAACTTTTTATTTTTTGTCTTTTTGAGACAAGGTCTCCCTGTAGCCTCAGCTGTCCTGGAATTCACTATTTAGACAAGGCTGGCCTTGAACTCACAGAGATCCGCCTGCCTCTGCCTCCCGAGTGCTGGGATTAAAGGCGTGCACCATCACGCCTGGCCAACAGTTAAATTTTTTAAATGACTATATATTTGATATTTTCTAGTAACTGTGTTTTGTTTCTATTAATAATAAACAAGTTAAAACTAGACGCAATAGTGCACAACTTTAATCCCAGTACTTGTAAGGTAGAGGCAGACAGATATCTGTGAATTCAAGGCCAGCATGGTATACATAGTGAGACCCAGTCTCAAAAAAAAAAAAAAAAATGAAGAGATTGAAAACAAGACTTCTTTGTTTCCCTTGGTCAGTGTTGTTATAAGGAACAATGAAAGAACATAGGAAAACCTTAGATTAAGCTGTGATTTCTTCCAAAACCCCCCAAATGCCATTTGTTTTAAAAGCTAATTCTTTTCATCCTATATTTTTTTAACATTTTTCCTTTATGGCTGAAACATTCGCTAACCATCTTTTGGCCCAGAATAATGTAATAGAAGAAACAGAAGAAATTTGACTCTATGAATGTATTTTTTATAAAGACATTTGAGGTATTTTCAGTGTGAGAACTTGAGGGTTACTTTTACCTTGGCCTCCTATTTTAAAGCTGGTTCTCTGAGTTCTCACATTTGTACATACCTCCATGGTAAATTGTCTTAGCATGGTAATATGCTCAGATCAATTGCCAGTGGCAGTAATACTGCTATCAATCATGTATGAACATATAACAGCCAGAAGACAAATGAGATACTCCTTCTTTTAGCCTTGTACAGTTTGCTCTTCTGGAAGATGCCTTTAGTGAAAGTAATTTCCAGGGAAGTCTGAATGTATGTCAGTCAGTCACTAAGATTCTTTCAGCCTACCTGATCTGCAAAGAGAGAAAAGTGAGGGTTGGGGATTCAGTCAGCACCACGGATAGAGCCCATCGCACTGCAGCACCCAGCAGGGAGCTTAAGGACCTCCTCCCCAAGTTTTGTTTTGTTGTTTTGTTTCAGTACTTTTCTCTCTCTCCTCTCCCTTTCTCCCCGCTTTCTTCCCCCTTCTCCACCCCCCGCTCCCCCCCAACCCCCGCCCATCTCTCTCATTGAGATTCTCCGATTTTTTCCCAATTTGAATTCTAGTTTTTTGATTCTGCAGACGTCCTAAAAACTGTCCCATTTCCCCCGTGCTTCTTAATAATGTACATAAATAGACAGATGACAGATAGATAGATGATAGACAGATAGATAGATAGATAGATAGATAGATAGATAGATAATAGCTAGATAGATGATAGATAGATAGATAGATGATAGATAGATAGGATACATAGACACATACATAAATGGATAGATGATAGATAGAAAGTAC